ACCAACAGCAGACGGTTGTATTCTCGGCCAATGGGGGCGCAACCTACGGTGCAATCGATAGGCGGCGGCTTTACTTTCGGCCGCCGAGGGCGCAACCTACAGCGCAACCAGTAGAGGGCAATTATACTCTCGGCTGCCGAGGGCGCAACTTATGGCGCAACCAATAGGAGACGGCTTTGTCCTCTTGCACAAGGTGACTGCAGCCTCGAAAACATTATTTCGCGTCGCCCACCTCTCTGCCCCCACTCTTCCCCCAGCGGCTCCCTTTCCTTCGCCGCTTCTCTATTCCCGGCAGCCGAGTGCCCCCTCCGCCCCGACCGCTATATTTCGCGTCGCCCCGCCCCCCCCTCCTCTGCCCCCAGCTCTCTCCCCAGCGGCCCTTTTTTTCGCCCCCGGCGGCCGAGCGACCCCCCCGGCCCCCCCGCCCCCGCCGCATTATTCTGCGTCGGCCTCCCACCCCCTGCCGCGCCCCCAGGGCCCGCCCCCTTGCGTTTTCCTTTGTTATTCCTCTCCCTCTCCTCTCCCTTCCCCATGCGCAAGACCCGCGGCGCGCGCGCCGCTTGTTCCCGACCGCCGAGGGCGCAACCTATGGCGCAACCAAAAGGAGACGGGCTCGTTCTCGGCCGCCGAGGGCGCAACCCACGGCGAAGCCAATAAGAGACGGGCTCGTTCTCGGCCGCCGAGGGCGCAACCCATGGCGCGACTAATCGGAATGCGTTTCATCATCGGCCGCCGAGGGCGCAACCGATGGCACGACCGACAGGAGGCGGGTTCATTCTCGGCCGCCGAAGGCGCAACTTATCGCACAACCAGTCGGAGGCGGTTTTATTCTCGGCGGTCGAGGGCTCAACGACCGGCGCAATCAATAGGAAACGTTTGTATTCTCGGCCGTCGGAGGGGAATGCGAACACTTCGAGGACGATGCCGACGACTAACGACGACGAAGACAACGACGACAACCACGGCGACGACGGCGGTGGCGCGGCGAACGCGTTTGCTGCGACGGCGGCGACGGCGGCGGCAGCGACGGCGGAGACGAGGACCGCCGCCACCACGACGACACCAAATGCGACGACGAGCACACCGACCCGGCCAAACCTGGCTGGACATCCACACGCGCGCGGGGCAACGTCTGATTTATGCTCACTGTTTGGGCTGGCGGTGGGGCCCAAGCGGCGAGCTGACTTGCGTCTGTTGACTTGGGGGGGGGGGGCTCATCGTCCCTCTTCCTGTCACCCCTCCCCCCTCTCCTCCTCTTTCTCTTCCCCTCCCCGTTTCCCCCCCGTCCCCCCTCCCCCGCCGTCGTCGCCGTCGTCGCAGACGTCGTCGTCGAGGTCGTTGTCGTCGTGGTTGTCGTCGTCGTCGTCGTCGTCGTCCTCCTCGCAATCGTCGTCGTCGCCGTCTTCGTCATCCTCGTCGCAATCGTCGTCGTGGACGCCGTCGTCGTCGTCGTCTTCGTTGTCGTCGTCGTCCTCGTCGACGTCCTCGTCGCCGTCGTCGTCGTCCTCGTCGCAATTGTCGTCGTCCTCGCCGTCGTCGTCGTCCTCCTCGCGATCGTCGTCGTCCCCGTCGTCGCAAACATCCCCGTCCTAGTCGTTGTCGTCGTCGTCGTCTTCGTTCTCGTCCTTTACATTGTCGCATTCGTCCCCGTCGTCGTTGTCGTCGTCGTCCCCGTTGGCGTCAACGCCGTCCGCCATGGCGCCCCAGTGTTGCTCCATGGAATGAATTTGCTTGCGAAAACGACCCCTAAAAACCACTGGGATGCATTTGCGCAGGCCCGAAAACTATAAGACTTCTGGTCAGGCATGGTTCTAGCTTCGAAAAAATCTCCAATTTGAGACAGTTTCCCGATCCGAGAACAAGTCGAGAACAATTTGCTGACATGTTCTCAAATTCTTCTCAAATTGTTCTCCAAGTGAGAAAACTGCTTCATCACAGGAAAAAATTCGCCAAGTTTGAACAATGTTTTCCCCCAAATCTCATAGTTTTCGGCCCCCAAGGCCTGCGTGAATGCATTCCACTGGTCCGTCAGGGGTCGGATTCGCTAGAAAAAACTTTATGGAGCAGCGCTGGGACGCCATAGTGGACGGCGACGACGACCGCGGGGACGACGGCGACGACGACGGCGAGGACGACGAACACGACGAGGACGAGAGCGAGGACGACGACGACTGGACGGAAACGTTTGCGACGACGACGACGACGGCGACGAGGACGACGACGAGGACGTGGACGACGACGAGGACGGCGACGACGACGACGGCGATTGCGAGGAACACGAACACGACGGCGACGAGGAGAAGGAAGAGGAGGACGGCGACGATGAATGTGAGGAGGACGAGGACGGCGACGACGACGGCGACGAGGCCGACGACGACGACGAAGGCGTCGACGACTGCGACGTCGACGACGACGTCGACGAGGACGACGAGGACGACGACGAGGACGCCGAAAACGACAACGGCGACGGCGACGACGACGACGACGGCGACGACGGCGAATAGGACGGCTAGGACAGCGACGACGACGGCAGAGGGAAGGAGAAGGAGGAGAGGGGGGAGGAGACAAGCTAGGTGCGCTCGCGTCATATCTGACATCCTACCCCTCCCTCCCATCCCTTACCATGGCGTATGGATGGGGGAGGGGAGCAGAGCGGGGAGAAGAAGAGGGAGGAGGAGGGCGAGGAGGAAGGGCGCTGAGCCCAGAGACCCAACGTCTTGAAAAATCAAGGCGGATGTCTGTCCCCGCATATCGGTATCCAGGGGCCCTCAACGGGCCCGGGGCCGCCATGAAACGACAGTGGATGAAATCGCGAGACAGCTCGCCGCTCGGCCCCCGCCGCCAGCCCAAACGGCGAGCATAAATCGGACGTTGCCCCACTGCGCAGTCCGCAGCACATGCCGCTAAAAAATCAAGCGGGCCCTAGTTCCATGCAGCTTGGATGGCGGGGTGGCAACGGCAATGGATTCGGATCCGTCCTTGGCATCGCTGGGGCAGACTGATACGGGACCTTTTTTTCGGACCGCGTTATGGGTAACGTAGAACGCATGACAAGCACTGGCAAGTCTTTAATATGTTTCAGCACCGAGGCGAGGCGTAAGGTAGAGGAGGTTATAAAACCAGTCATGGCCATGCCCAGAAATCTCGTGCTGTACCCATGGATCATAACCTCTCGCATCCGCGGGCAGATAGCATAATGCCTCATGCTGTCAGTGCTGGCACACCCAGAGTACCCGACTGCACAATGCCTGGCAGCGGGCCTAAAGCGGGAAAACGTACAACGACCTCGGCAGGCAGTGCCACAGTGCGGATCATCGGCTCAACAAAGTATGGGCTGGCAGCCGTCGGAAGAAGTTGGAGCCTCCACAACATATTAGGGACCCTCCCAGGGGCGACCATGGGGAGCCACTTCATCAGCCTCACGGCCAGAACTTCAATGACGGATCGCCCAGGCTTCGGGTGCCAGCGCTCAAGATGACCATACAACTTCCGTCGGACAGCCTCCCTCGCAACAGTGGGTGGGAATTCAAAAACAACAGGCAACAACACCCCATGAGCTTCAGCCATGTGATGAACAATTGGGTGTTTCCACCACCCACGGTGCCACCGCATGGTGATGCAGTCGTCCGATGCAAGAAAGGTCCGAACTCTCCCAAGCTCGGTCCGAAACCCTGCACAGTGGTCAGCAAACCGCGCTCGTGCAGCCAAGCTAACTTGGTGTAAATGTCGTAGCTCCACCCGTACCCCACATATCATAACACCCTCCAGTAGCTCCTTCGGCATGGCATTCCATGGGCCCATGGTCAGAAGGTGGGCACAGCGTTAGTAAGCAGCACTACGTGCGGCAGAGGGCGGATAAAACTGCAACACATACTGCAGCAGCGACGGGTAAAGAACGTGGAACGTGGGGAGCGCAACAACTCATCCCAGGCCGGTCCTTGTAACGTACATAGCGCGGCTGAGAAAACGAAGGACTATTTCGTCCCAAGCATGGGCCTCACCGTCTGGCCCGATCATCACCCCCATGTACTTGATAAAGCGAGCAACCACCAGCTCCCGAAACACCAGGCCCAGGGACTCCACGAGGTTGCGAATTTGGACCACCGAGGCATTGCCAACAGTCAGGAGCACGCATTTGTTCACTCAAGGCAGTAAGCAATTCCAGGATCGGCATCAGTCCCATCTTGCTTATAAACATATCAGCTTTGACAGCTCAAATGATACGTCATGGAAAACACTCGATACAAAAAAGTACCACTAGAAGCTAGCAGCCTGTCCACTTGCTGGCTGCCTTTGTGACTCCACAGAGCTGGCGCGGCGGCTTCTTGGAGGGGGCCCGGGGCTTCGACGAAGCCTCCTTAGATCGGGTCGGGCACACCGTGGAAATAATTAGCAGCGCGGTTTGGGACATCAAATGAGTTTCGCTGCTTTCCCCGGCGCTGGAGGCGCCAATGTATCGAGGAACGCGCTGGGCGGCGGGGCTGAAACCAGCTGCATTCAATAGATTTCTATCCCCCCTGGGGAGGGGAGGGGAGGGAGGCAGGGGAGGGAGGGAGGGGAGGGGAGGGAGGGGAGGTAGGGAGGGAGAGAGAAGGCGAGGACCCCAGGGGAGAGGGACGGGGGGAGGGATGGTCCCAATCCCTCGCGTCACCCGACCTGGTTTGATGGCAGGAAGGCAGGAAGCCTTCTGGGGGGTGGCCTTCTAGGTTCTAGGAAGGCAGTGGAGGACCAGGGGGCTATCAGAACGCCTCTCAGAAGGCCGCCCCACACGCTATGTCCGCTCAAAACCAGCCCCCGCACCCCTGGCAAGATCCATCCTGGCCAGTTTCCTTGACGCGTCCAGCCGTAGCCAAGAGAACCTCCAGAAATGTTCTAATCTCCAGGACGACGACGCGGCGAACCATGACGACGACGATCCCGATCCCGACGCCGACGCCGACGACGACGACGACGACGACGGCGACGACGACGGCGGCGACGACATGGTGCGCGCCACTCACCATCGGGGTCTGGTACAGCCCCTCCTCCTCGCCGGCGCACTCGCAGCCGTTGCAGAACCAGAGGACCTGCGACTCCAGGTACTGGCAGGTGATGACCTTGCCCGCTGCCGCAGCGGGGGGGGATGAGGAGGATGAGGATTGAGGAGGAGGAGGACGGAGGCGGAGGCGGAGGCAGAGGAGGAGGAGGAGGAGGAGGAGGAGGAGGAGGAGGAGGAGGAGGAGGAGGAGGAAGCGGCGGCGGCGGCGGCGGCGAGGGCGGAGGCGGCGGCGGTGAGGGGGGAGCGAGGGCGGCGGCGGAGGCGGCAGCGGCCGCATCGGCGGAGGCGGCGAGCGGGGGAGCGAGGGCGGCGGCCTGGCCGGCGGCGGCGAACGAGGCGATGGCCGCGTCGCAGTCCGCGTAGCCGAGGCTGCTGTAGTCGTACACGCAGGCCTCGTAGGAGGAGGTGGAGGAGGAGGAGGTGGAGGAGGAGGAGGTGGAGGAGGAGGTGGAGGAGGAGGAGGTGGAGGAGGAGGAGGAGGAGGCTGCTGTAGTCGTACACGCAGGCCTCCAGGTCCCGGGCTCCCATGTCGTAGGAGCCCGCGCCGCTCAGGGAGAAGGCGCACGAGGACGTGGCCGTCGTCGGCCCAGCGATGACGGCGACGGGGGGCGGCGCGGGGTTGAAGGAGAGGTTGAAGACCACCTCGGGAGCAGCGGCGGGAGGGAGGGGGGAGAAGGGAGGAGGGAGGAGGGAGGAGGGAGGAGGGAGGAGGAGGAGGAGGAGGAGGAGGAGGAGGAGGAGGAGGAGGAGGAGGAGATAGGAGGAGGAGGAGAGGAGGAGGAGGAGGGAGGAGGAAGAGGAGGAGGAGGAGGAGGGAGGAGGGGGAGGAGGCAGGAGGAGGAGGAGGAGGAGGAGGAGGACGGAGGAGGAGGAGGAGGCGGAGGAGGAGGAAGGCAGGAGGAGGGGCAGGTGGCTTGAGGAGAAGGGATGGGGAGGAGGCTGGAGGAAGGGGGAGGAGGACGAGGACGAGGACGAGGACGAGCAGGGAGAGCAGGAGGAGGGAAGAGGAGGGAGAAGGGACGGGGAGTGGGCTGGATGAGGGAGGGAGCCGTAAAGACGTCGCGGTGGCTGGCCCCGAGACGGCGGCGGCGGGGGGTGGCGGGGGGCTGAAGGAAAGAATGAGGACCACCTCGGGCAGCAGTGCCGTCGGAGTAGTGTCCTGCGGGGTCAGAGCTGAGAACGCCTCCCCCTCTGCCTCCTCCTCCTCCTCCTTCTTCTTCTTCTTCTTCTTCTTCTTCTCTCCTTCTTGCTGTTCCTCTTCCTCCTTCTCCTCCTACTTATCTCTCTGCCTCCATCCCTCTTCTCCTGCATTTCTTTTCTCCACCTTCGCCCTCTCATATCTCTCCGCACCTGTCCTCCTCCTCCCTCCGGAGGCCCACCAGCCTCCCAAGAACCTCCAAGAAGCCCTTGGAGCCCCCTGGGCCCCCCCAAGCCCACCTGCTCCTCACTTCTACTGACTCTACCTCATCCTCTCTTCTCATGTCTCCTCTTGCCCTAGAACCCCCCCCGGTCGCCCAGAACCTTCTCGAAGCCCTTGGTCCACAGGAGAGCCCGCCACCCACCTCCCTCCGCCCCCTCCTTCCTCCTCCTCCATCCTCTCTCCCCTCCTCCGCCTCATCCTCCTCACTACCACCGTTCCATCCGCCTACCCCCTCCCCCTCCTCCTCTCCTCCTCCTCCTCCCCCTCCTCCTCTCCCTCCTCCTCCTCCTCCTCCCTCTCCTTCCTCCTCGTCCTCCTCCTCATCCTCGCGACGCGTCCAGCGGGGAGTGCCCCTCTGGAGAGGGGCTGGTCAAACAAGCATCTGTTTCAGCTGCCCTTCAAGCAGCATCGGAGGGACACCCACAGGCTGGCCCCCATGCTGGGCGCTGGTTTGACGACGCGCCGGTCCTCGTCCTCGTCCTCCTCCCCTGCCCTCTCCTTCTCTCTTCTCCTCGTATCTCCTCGTTCCCTTACAAGCACATCGGGCCCTCTCAGAGCCTCCCAGAAGTCCTTGGGCCCCTCGTAGGACCCCCCAAACCGCCTTCTCCTCCTCCTCCTCCTTCTCCTCCTCCTCCTCCTCCTCCTCCTCCTCCTCCTCCTCCTCCATCGCTTTTCCTTACAATTAACTTCTCCCTGTCGCGCCCCTCAGGCGTGTTGGCAGGGCGGGTTCGCATAAGACTTCCTCGCCGCCTTGCCATTTATTATCCTGAAGCTTGACATGTGTACCAGTTTCACGGGTGGAGGACGGGCTCAACATGTGGCTCTCGCCTTCGCGCCCCGCACATCGTCTTAACAGCTTGCAGTAAACTCAAGGATGAAGCGCGGTTCGTTTTCAATATGTTGTTCTTGCCATATCGCCATGCGTTTTCGGATTAAAAGTGTGCGGCAGCTTCACGGATGGAGAGCGGGTAATGTTCAAGATGTGACTCTCGCTGCAGCGCCGCGCGCATTCGTGACACAAATTTGCAGCCAGCTTCACGGATGGAGGGCGCAGGCGGTTTTCAGAATGTGGCTCTCGCCTTGGTGCCGCGATCATTCGTCCTAAAAATTCGCAGCAAGTTCGCAGTGGTCGGGCGGTTCCTTTTCACAATGTGGCTCTCTCCTTAACGCCACGCACGTTCGTCTCACAGATTTGCAGAAGCTGAAAGGATTCGTATGGCTGGGGCACCTGGAATGGCATGCTGACAAGATTTGGGGTTGTCACAGGACGCACCTGTCACGCAGATCCGCGGTATGTAAGTCCGGGGAATGGTGCTCTGGCGCGGCTTAGGACGGTCATGACGCAACAGTCACGTTGATCCGCGGCGTTAAAATCTGAGGAACTGCGTTCTGGCAGGATTGGCGATTCTCACACGGTCGTCTTCCAACGGGCCCCTTCCCACAACGACAATGATTTCTGTTCTGGACCCATAAGGAACTTGGAGGGAAGGTCTATTGCAAGATCGTTGATGCATCTTGGGTTTGCACTGGTCCTCCTCGTCCTCCTCCTCCTTCTCCCCCTCCTACTCCTCCTCTGATATCATCGTGTCTCCTCTTCCGCCTAAGACCTTATCTGGTCCTCCCAGAGCCTCCCAGAAGCCCTTGGGCCCCTCGTCGGGTTCACCAAGCCCTCCTCCTCCTCCTCCTCCTCCTCCTCCTCCTCCTCCTCCTCCTCCTCCTCCTTGACAACCACGTTTGAGGCCCGGAACAGCCAAAGTATACACAAAAGTATCATGAAAGACCCAACCATATGCATTCAGAATGCTGTACCTACGAATGCCGCCTTCGGGGGAGCTCTCTGTGGGGCCACGAAACGTGTGAGGGGTGTGCCGATATGGGCCCGGAGGCGCATGCAGGCGCCGCCGTTGGGGCCTTCGGTGGAACTCCCAAGGGGGTCCAAACACGTGTGACTGGGGCTTCTGGTGGAGCTCCCAATGGGGCCACGAAGCGTGTGAGAGGTGTACCGAATTGGGCCTAGAGACGCATGCGTGTTGTGCCATTGGGCCTTAGTTTGGGCTCCCTGTGGGGCCACGAAGCGCCGTAATGGGCTGGGGGACCGCATGCGGTCCCCCTCCCCCTGGGGCCGTAGTTGGAGCTCCTCGTTGTGTCTCGAAACGTGTGAGGGGTGCGCCGAAATAGTTTTGGGATCGCACGTGGTCCCCCCCGGAGCCTTAGTTGGAACTCTCTATGGGACTACGAAGCGTGTGAGGGTGTGCCGACATGGGCGCGCAGTGGGTAGAGGCAAGGATGGGAGGATGGGGCAGCGGGAGGGAGGTGAGGTGACGCGGGGCGCTGTCTCGTCAAAACGAAGACCCAAAGCCACACGACGGCTGAGAGAAAACTAGCCTGGCGAGAGAGATCTGACCACATGCGGTTGCGAGTGGTGCAGTTCTGCGTGCCGTCCTCGGTGCAGCTCCCCATGGGGTCACGAAGCGTGCGAGGGGTGTGCCAACACTGGTGGGGCGGCCGCACGTGGACGGTGCCTCTGTGGCCGGCGGTGGAGCTCCTCATGGGGGCCCGGAAGCGCGTGAGGGATGTGCCGAAATCGGTGGGGCGGCCGCATGCGGACGGAGCCACTGGGGCCTTCGGTGGAGCTCCCTACGGGGCAGTTTTTAATACATAGCATTTTTGAAACATATGGGATGTGTAATGCATGGTTGATGTAGGAATGCATTCCTGCATGAACTCATCGTTGTTTTTGGTACCAAATCCTGCATTTTTAGTGCATGGTCCGCACGCGGAGCATGTATTAAAAACGGCACTGTACGGGGCCACGCCACGCGTGAGGGGTGTGACGAACTGGGCGGGGGGGGCCGCACGCAGATGGTGCCACTGAAACTTTCGGTGGAGCCCTCTGGGACAACGAAACGCGTGAACGTGTGAGGGGCGCGATGCGGTACCCCCCCTGGGCCCTAGTTCCAGCCCCCCATTGGGCCACGAACACGTGAGGGGCGTGCCGGCATGGGCCGGGGGACCGCATGCGGTACCCCCTGGTGACTGAGTTGGAGCTCCTGATGGGACCACACACCGTGTGAGGGGCGCGCCGAAGTGGGCTCGGGGACAGCATGTGGTATCCCCCGCTGGGGCCTTAATTGGAGCTCCCTCTGGGGCCGTGCAATGTGTGAGGGGTGCGCCGAAATAGGTTTGACCCACCCCCCTGGAGCCTTAGTTGGAACTCCCTAGGGCGTCACGAAGCGTGTGAGAGGTGTATCGAGATGACATGCCGACGGCTGAGGCAGGGATGTGATGAGGGAGGAGAGAAGAGTGAGGAGGAGGGACGCGGGGCGCTGTCTCTTCAAAACGAGGATCCAACACCACATGATGGTTGACACCGAGAGCAAGACGACCATCGGTTATCCTGACTCTTGCAGCTGCCCCCACCCCCTTCTCCTCCTCCTCCTCCTCCTCCTCCTCCTCCTCTCCTCTCCTCCTCCTCCTCCTCCTCCTCCTCCTCCTCCTCCTCCTCCTCTCCTCTCCCCCTTCGCGCTTGCTGCTGCGGCTCCTCCTCCTCCTCCTGATAATACGCCTCCTCTTTCTCCTCCTCCTCCTTCTCCTCCTCATCCTCCTCCTCCTCCTCCTCCTCCTCCTCCGTCTCCTCCTCCTTCTCCTCCTCCTCCTCCTCATCCTCCTCCTCCGTCTCCTGCTCCTGGCTGGCCGTCCTGGGCTCCAGATTTGTTTTGGCCAGGCAATGGGCGGCCGCTCTGGCCAGAGTCCGACGGGGGTGGGCCCGGGTCCGAGGACCGATGGCGGCTGCTTTCCGGGCCTCTGCGGTGGCGGTTGGCTGGCGGTGCCCCTCCCCTTCCGTCCTGACCTCTCTCTCCCCGTGCGGAGGCGGATGGCAGACGATGGCAGGGCGGGCGGGGCCCGCTCGGTGCTGTGCCCGAGGCCCTCGACGAGTCCATCGATGCGCTCCAGTGGCGCCAGGCTGCCGAGCACGTCGGTGGTGGTGGGATCCACGGGGGCCGCTTCTTTGTACCACGTCTGGGACTTGGAGGAAGGGCGTCGGGACCTCTCGGCTCTGATTCGGCTCCTGGCTTCTGGCGGTTGCTGGCCCGAGGAGCGCAAGCACCTTGCCCAGGTGGCCCCTGACCCGCTCCGTCGCCGCTGCCGGCCAGATCCAGACACTTCGCTGCACCGTTTCTGGGGCTGCACGTGTAATTCCACTGCTGACGCCCCTGAGATTGTTGAAGCCCAGCACCTGAGGCATGGTGCCCTGCAGGAAGGCGCTCAACACCCATGTTTCTGGATGCGAGGCTTGATCCCTCTCTCCTGGTTCCGCCTCCCTCCTGTTCCGAGGTCCATGACCTCCAGGGGCGTCGGTGCCCAGGGGACTTGTCTGCAGGCAGCCTGCCAGTAGGCCTGCATGCCACCGACGGCACGGGTGGACAATTTGCCAGCCTTCCTGCCCTTTGTGGGGTGGCCTTCGCCTCTGTGAGGCTCCGTCCTGGCGAGGACTCTGATTGGGCTTGTGGTGCCACTGGTGTGCTCGACTCGGTTCGGCAAACGGTCCCGCGTGCAGAGCTTGCGGCCGTTGTCGAGTGTCTGCGTTGCGTTGGCCCCTCCCAAGATCTGCACGTGGTCACCGACCACGCTAACACTGGCCGTCGCTCGGACGTCCATTCCCTGTGTTTGTTTGGTTTCGTGCGTGTTTCGTCGCCAAATGATCAAGGATGCTCCTCAATGGCCCTCGCCGAAGGAAACATGCACACGTCCGAGCGATGCCAAGAACACGGTCAAAGCTTTCCTGGCCGGCCGTGCGGCCTCCTGCGAGGCTGGCCGACTTCGACCTCTGGTGGGGGAATTCTGGGGGCTCCTGGCAGGGCGATCAGGATCTCTTCGGCTCTCCCATGTTCCCAGCCACCTGCTGGAAGACACCCAACGGCTCGCCCGCTTTGGCGACTCGGCTCACCTGAACCATGCCGTGCTCAACTCCGTGGCCGACGAGAGTAGCCAACCCGCGAGCCGAGTTGTGCCAAGTGCCGCCCGACGTGGTCAAGAATTCGAATGAGCTCGGTGCCGATGCCCGTCTCATCCTGAAGCGTAATCGGGCATGTCCCCCTACAGGGGCATTCTGGGCGAAAAATGAAAAGTAGCCCCAACATGCTCCAGAATGGTAGAACAATGCTCAAAAAATGAAGAATAGTCCCCAGACATTTTTTTTTGATTATTTTTGGAATCTTCCCCCTGAAGAGGGACAGGCCCGACTTAAGCGTCATGCCTCGGTGAGTCTTGCCTGTGCTCCTCCGCGGGCCGAGCCCCGCCGCTGGTGGCATAGGCAGCCCGTCGATGCGGTGCTGTTCCTCCTCCCTCCTCCCTCCTCCTCCCTCCTCCTCCCTCCTCCTCCCTCCTCCTCCTCCTCCCTCCTCCGCCTCCCCCCTCCTCCCTCTCCTCCTCACCCTCCTCCTCCCTCCTCCTCCCTCCCTCCCTACTCTCCCACTCTCCTCCTCCCTCCTACCTCCCTTCCTCCTACTCCTCCTCCTCCTCCTCTCCTCCTCCTCCTCCTCCTCCTCCTCCTCCTCCTCTCCTCATCCTCCTCCTCCTCCTCCTCCTCATCCTCCGTCCTCCCTCCTCCTCCCCTCCCCCTCCCTACTCCCCCTCCTCATCTCCCCTCCTCCCTCCTCCCTCCTCCCCTCCTCCTCCCCCCCCTCCTCCTCCCTCCATCCTCCTCCTCCTCCATCCCTCCTCCCCTCCCTCCTCCTCCCTCCTCCTTCTCCTCCTCATCCTCCTATTCACCCCCGCCTAACTACTCACTCATTCCTCCTCCTCCTCCTCCTCCTCCTCCTCCTCCTCCTCCTCCCGCAGGCGGAGGCGGATCGAGGCCGATGCTCCTGGCTTGGTCGCATGCTTAGGAGTTCGGCTCTGGGGTCTGGGCCTGTGGGATGTGCAAGGCTTCGATCTCCGACGTCGCCCCCTCGCTCCGTGCTGGGCTCTGCTCCGCCTGTCCGGTGTCTGGAGGAGGTGGAGCGGGGGGGGGTTCGGCGGAGGCGGAGGAGGTCCTCGCCAGCAAATGCGTCACCCCCATGCGCTTTCTGCCGCCCGGGGTTAGGTCGGGCACGTCCCCCTATACAGGCGGATGTTGGAGGAGAAATGGAACATTAGTCCAGAGATGCCCCAACATGGTAAACAAGATAGTCGAAACATCGTCCCCAGACTATTCTTAGGTCGGGCCTGTCCCCCTACAGGGGGGGGTGGGCGAAAAATGACCCATTCTAAACAAGTACCCCCTCATGCTCAAAAATAGTTTTAAAAGATAGTCCCCAGACTATGTCTGGGCTATTCTTGAATACCCCTCCCGTAGAGGGACAGGCCCGACTTAAGACTGCTGGTGGGCTGTTTGGGACTAGTCCTCCCCCCGACTCCGGATCCGCCCTACTTCGGCTTCCCCCCCCTAAAAACTGCGTCGGAAATCCACCTGTAAGAAGCCGAAAAAGTAGGGCGGAAAGTTCTGCACCCAACATAGAGTAGGGCGGACATCCGCAGAAGAGTAGGGCGGAAACGGCCACAGAAAGGTAGGGCGGAAACTGGCATCCGCGGGGCTTGAAACGTAAGGCGGAAATTCCAAGCCCTGCTTACAGCGGGGGAGTAAGGAGCAGGAGGAGGAGGAGCAGGAGGAGGAGGAGGTGGAGGAGGGGGGTGTGAGGGAGGAGGAGAGGAGAAGAGAGGCGGAGGAGGGGAGGAGGAGGAGGAGGAGGAGGAGGAGGAGGAGGAGGAGGAGGAGGAGGGGGGGAGGAGGAGGAGGAGGAGGAGGGAAGGAGGAGGAGGAGGGAGGAGGAGGAGGAGGAGGAGGAGGAGGGGGAGGAGGAGGCGGAGAGGAGAGGAGGCGGAGGCGGACGGAGTGAGGAGGAGGAGGAGGAGGAGGAGGGGGAGGAGGAGGAGGGGGGGAGAGGAGTGCGGAGGAGGAGGAGGAGGAGGGGGAAGGGGGAGTGAGGGAGGAGGGGAGGAGGAGGAGGAGGAGGAGGGGGAGGAGGAGGAGGAGGAGGAGGAGGAGGAGGAGGAGGATGAGGGAGGAGGAGGAGAGAGGAGGAGGAGGAGGAGGAGGAGGAGGAGGAGGAGGAGGAGAGGAGGGGGGGAGGGGGGAGGAGGAGGGGGAGAGGAGGTAGGGAGGGGGCAGGAAGGAGGAGGAGGAGGGGGAGGAGGAGGAAGGAGGAGGAGGAGGAGGAGGAGGAGGAGGAGGAGGAAGGAGGGAGGAGGAGGAGGAGGAGGATGGAGGAGGCAGGCGGAGAAGCAGGAGGAGCAGGGCCTGCAGCGGGGCAGGCCCGACGGTGGGGCCCCCCGGGCGCCCCCCGACCGCCCCAGGGCCGGCGGCGCTTCGGCTTCGGCCCGCGAGTAGGCCTCCGGGGGCCCCGAACCGCTGCAGGCCTCTCCTCCTACCCCCCCTCCCACCTCCTTCCTCCTCCTCCCTCCTCCCCCTCCCTCCCTCCTCCTCCTCCTTACTCCTATACTCCCCCTCCCCTCTCTCATCCTCCTCCTTCCTCCCTCTCTCCTCCTCCTCCTCCCCTCCCCCCCCTCCCTCCTCCTCCTCTTCCCTCCTCCTCCTCCCCCTCCTCCTCCTCACGGGGCCACCTGGGCCCCGTGACGGGTGCTCTGGAGGCCGTGCCGCGCCGTGGGGGGCGCGGGCGCGGCGGCCCACTCCTCCCGACGACGACGACGACGGCGACGACGGCGACGGCGACGACGACGACGACGGCGACGACGGCGACGGCGACGACGACGACGGCGACGACGACGACGGCGACGGCGACGACGACGGCGACGACGACGACGACGATGCCCCGATCCCCCCCGCACAAGGTCGGGCGCCCTGTGGCAGAAGGGCGCCTTCGCCTTCTGCGGCGAAGGCGCATGTCCTGGGCCATGGCTCGCCCGGATGGCCTGCGGGAGCCCTGCCCTGTCGCCGCCCTGGGGCCGCATGCCGCCACGAAGCACCAGCTTGAGGTGCTGCAGCGTGTTCGCAAAGGCTTACCGCCCTCCAAGACCGCCAGGAGCTGGGTGCCTTCATTATCTGACCCTGCCTGTCAACCCCTGCATCCCTTGCGCTCTGGAGCTTGGCTGGCAGCGGCGCTCTGTAAAAATTCTTCTCCTGCTCCTCCATCCTCCTCCCTCCTCCTCCCTTCTCCCTCCTCAGGAGCACCCGGTTTTCTCCTCCCCCCTGCCGGGGAGGATGCCTTCCTCGAGGCCCCCCACCTGCGTCCTGGAACGCAGCGGTCACGCGCAGAGCGTAGTCGGTCTCGGGGAGGAGGCGGTGTGGGGTGTGGGCTGAGGACGAGGAGGAGGGGGAGGTGGAGGAGGAAGGAGGAGGAAGAGGCAAGGAGGATGACAACCAGGAGGACGTTGAGGAGGTGGCAGAGGAGAGCCAGGAGCAGGAGGGGAGGCCCGGGAGAGCAGGACAAGGTGCACAGTAAACCCACAATGCTCAGAGATGCTGCAGCACAGCCTCCCATTCCAAGGCCCCTGCTCATACATTCCTATTCGCCTTCTTCTCAATCGCACGAAACACTCCCTTGACGGGCACCAGTTCGAAAAGGACTTACCTTTCATCCTTATAACGCGTAGTCAGGAACGCGAAGACGTATGACCCAACTCAACGAGGTTCTCGACTTGAAACGGACCACCCCCCATCCGTGCAACTGTTGCACAGCCTTGCACTTATTGGCCCGAACGTCGATCTCATGGGAGAGCTCACTTGTGAAAGGATGCACCTTGCTCTTGGAGTAAGGAAGTCTCAGGGGAAAGCCAAAGTTTGAAAAGGAGCTGCCGTCCATCGCCATGACTGTTGCAAGCTTTCGAAACGAATGCGGGCGCCACTGAGGCGAGAGCTCCATTCTGAAGGGGCGCCGCCTTCGATCCTCGAAGCCGTGGAGCACCTTTGACGACGACCGTGTGCGACGCTGGAGAGCGAGAGTCCCCCCCTTTTGGCCAAGGAGCCGCCCTCCATCTCTGCAGTCGCGCGCAGGCATTCGGGGCGAGCGTGCAGGGCGCCGGGGCGCGAGGGCCCCGTGCTTGCCATAGACACGGCCCTCCCCCCCCCCGCGCAGCTGCGGCACACACACACACACACACACACACACACACACACACACACACACACACACACACACACACACACGTGGCGAAGCTCCTCTTGCTCGATGTGGCGCCGTTCCAGCCGCAAGCCCCACTGAAAATCGGAACCGTCGCACTAGGGAAACAGAAAATGGCACAAACATAACAACTCGGAGGTCCGCGCGGATTTCTCGGATCGGCGCTGGACCCCTCTCCCTGGCGCGCGGAGCGCGCCAGGGGCGGCGCCGGAGGCGCCGCCGGGGGGCCCCGGCGCCGATCCGAGAAATCCGAGCGGACCTCCGAGTTTTTATGTTCCTGTCACTTTTTGTTCCCCGACATGCGTCCTCGCGACAGTCGCACGCTTCTAGAACGAGAGAGGGCCCCGCCCCGAAGAGGAGCCGCGCCCTCCCATCGCCGCCGCCGCCGCAAAAGCTTCCAGGGGGACCGTGCGCGGCGGTGGGGCGATGCGGCGAGGGCGCGCCCTCTCCACCTCCTGCCACGCGTCGCCAATGCACTCTGGGAAGGGGAGCAGGAGGAGGAGGAGGAGGAGGAGGAGGAGGAGGAGGAGGAGGAGGAGGACGACGAGGAGGAGGAGGAGGAGGGGAGAAAACCAACATCGCCTGTCTAAAATTTGAAGAGCGCAAATAGTTTTTTAGTCGCAGTCGGCGGAGGAGGAGGAGGAGGAGGAGGAGTGAAAGAAGGAGGATGGAGGATCGAGGAGGAGGAGGAGGATGTAGGATTGAGGAGGGAGAGGAGGAAGAGGAGGAGGAGGACCAGTGGAAACCCAAGAGTGTCATCAACGATGTTAGAATCAACCCTCCCTCCAAGCTCCCTCTTCATAGGCCTCTACAACAGCTCATTTCCAATGGGGCAAATCCCTCGTTGAAAGACAACCGTTTGAAGACCCTGAAGCATGCCAAAACAGTGTTCTCGGGACTCCAACGCCACGGATCAACCTGGCTGTTGCGTCTTGACGATCCTGAATCGTTTCAGAACGCCATTCCTGTGACTCCAACACCACGAATCAACGTAACTGTTGCGCTCTCAAAACCCTGCTTCCTTCCAAAACACCCTTTCTGGTACGCTGACAATGGGAATCCGTGAAACTCTGCACATGTTAAAAACAAGTGTGCGCGGCGCTGAAGCGAGAACCACATTTTGCAAAAGAACCGCCCTCAATCCGTGAAGCTCTTGCAAATTGCTTAACACGAATGCGCGCGGCGCTAAGGCGAGAACCACATCTTGAAAATGGCCCGCCATCAAGCTGTGAAACTCTTGCAATGCTTCAAAACGAATATGCGCGGCGCTAAAAGGGAGAGAATCACACTTTGAAAATAATTCGCCCTCAATCCGTGCAACTCTTGCAAATGCTGAAAACGAATTTGCTCGGCGCTAGAGCGAGAGCCACATTTTGAAAACGACCCGCCCTCCATCTGAGAACCTGTTGCCAATGTTTTAGCTTCAGGGTCTAAATGGTGAGGAAGTCTCAGGCGAAACGGACCGCCCTAAAAACTGGCCTCGGGGTGAGACAGGGAGAAGTTATTTACAAGGAAAAAGGAATGGAAGCAGAGGAGGAGGAGGAGGAGGAGGAGGAGGAGGAGGAGGAGGAGGAGGAGGAGGAGGAGGAGGAGGAGGAGGAGTAAGAGGAGGGAATGGAGGAGGGACGAGGGGGATGAGCAGGAGAAGGAGGAGGAGGAGCACCAAGATCTCATCGCTCCCTCTCAGACGGGCTCCTGGGACCCAGGGGGAGGGGGGGGGGCGAGGCGACGGGCGAGTGCCCGAGCCGGCGGTGAAAGGCGGCGCGAAGATCACCTCCTCCTACGCCTGCCTCCTTCCTTGATCCTGCTCCTGCTCCTGGTCCTCCTGCACTCCCTCCTGCCTCTTTCTCCTTCGATCCTTCCTCCTTTCCTTCCTTCCTTCCCTCCGTCCTCTTCCTCCTCCTCCTCCTCCTCCTCCTCCTCGTCCTCTTTCGTTCCTTTCGCTCGTCATCCCTTCCCTTCCTTCTCCTCCTCCACCTCCTCCTCGTCCTCCTGATCCTTCCTCCTCCTTTTCTTGACCCCCCCTCCTCCTGTTCATCTCTTGTTCTATCCTCCTGCTCCTTCCTCGTCTCTCCCGTCTCTCGCTCCCTCCTCCTCCTCCTCCTCCTCCTCCTTCCTCCTCCTTCTCATCCTCCTCCTCCTCCTCCTCCTCCTCCTCCTCCTCCTCCTCCTCCTCCTCCTCCTCCTCCTCCTCCTCCTCCTCCTCGTATCCCTCCTCCTCCCACTCCTCCTTTTTCCTTCTTCCACCTCTTTTCTCCTCAATCCCTTCCCCTCCTGCGACTACGACGGCAACGATCGACGGATTGATGATTGATGACGGACAGCAGGCGACGACCGACTGACGACTGCCCGACCGACAGCCGACGGACGACGGACCGACCACGACGACGACGAGAACGACGACGACGACGACGACGGACGACGACGACGACGATGACGACGACGACCACGGACGACGACGACGACGACGACGACGACGACGACGACGACGACGACGACGACGACGACGACGACGACGACGACGACGACGGGCGCCTACCGACGACCGACGATGGCGAGGAGGGGCAGCCCCGGCCGAGGCGGCTGGCGAGGCCTCCGCGTCGAAGGTGAAGGGCGCGAAGCTAACAACGTTCGGCGAACGGGCCTGGTCGGTCGGCCCCGCCGCGCCGCCCAGCGGCGCCCACGCGAAGTTGCCGCCGAATCCGTAGACCTCCCAGTTCAACACGACCTCGCCGTCGAGGGGAGGAGGAGCCCAGACCCAGACCCCCTCGAGCAATGAAAAAATCATGACGGGAGGTTCTTCGCAATTTTCGGCCTCTGGGGGCCCTCACCGGGCCTCGGGGCCGTCAAAAAACGACTCAGGATGACAAACCGGTCCTGGGGAAGGGGTCGAGAACTCCCCAGACATCCGACGTCTCGATTTTTTCGAGACGTGGGCCCCCGACCTCCCGACCACTTCCCTGGGACCGGTTCTTCATCCCGAGTCGTTTTTGGACGGTCCCGAGGCCCGGGGGGGGCCCCGAGAGGCCAAAAACTAGGAAAAACCTCCGTCTCGTTTTTTCGAGACGCCCGATGTCCCCAGACCCCCGACGTCATGATTTTTTCATGACGTCGACCCCCCGAGGTCCGGACCCCTTCCCCGGGACCGGTTTGTCGTCCTGAGTCGTTTTTTGACGCTCCCGAGGCCCGGTGAGGGCCCCCAGAGGCCGAAAATGGCGAAAAACCTCCCGTCGTGATTTTTTCATGACTCGAGGGGGTCTGGGTCTGGGGACCCCTCGGGTCGTGAGCAGAAGCACGGCGCAGGGAAGGCCTCTGCCGCCTTCGGCCTCTCGAGGCCCTCGCCGGGCGCCGGGGCCGCAAGAGGAGGAGGAGGGAGGAGGAGGAGGGAGGAGGAGGGGGAGGGGGAGGGGGAGGGGGAGGAGGAGCCCAGATCGACCCCTCGGGTCGTGAGCAGAAGCACGACGCAGGAAGGCCTCTGCCGCCTTCGGCCTCTCGAGGCCCTCGCAGGGAGCCGGGGCGCAAGCCGGGGCTCCTGCCGCCCGCCCGATTTTTGTGCGCCCTCCTCGCACCCTCTAAAAGGACGAGGAGGAGGGGGAGGAGGGGGAGGAGGCAGGAGGAGGAGGGGAGGAGGAGGAGGAGGAGGAGGAGGAGGAGGGAGGAGGAGGAGGAGGAGGAGGAGGAAGAGGAGGAGGAGGAGAAGGCCGGGATGGCAAGCCGGTCCCGGGGAACGGGTCGAGACCTCCAGGGCCAAAGCGTCGTGGGCAAGCGTGGCCTCGGGGGGCGCAGGGATGGAGGTGTCCCGGGCCCCGGGTGGCCCCAGCGCTGCTGGGGCGGCCAGGTGGTCCTCGGGCCCGACGGGTGCCAAAATGGCGAGAAGAGCCCGGGGGCACCCTGGGCGAAGACCAGCTCTGGCAACCTCTGGTGGGGAGGGGGGAAGGTCCCTGGGTCCTGCGGGGGCCCGCCAGAAACCGAAGATGGCATTTGAGAGAAGACATGCCGCCGTGATGCTTCCACGACGCGAGAAAGTCTGGGAGGAGGAGGAGGAGGGGGAGGAGGAGGAGGAGGGGGAGGAGGAGGAGGAGGAGGACCAGTGGAAACCCAAGAGTCATCAGCGATGCTGGAATTAACCCTCCCTCCAAGCTCCCTCTTCACAGGCCCGTAGAAAGGTTCATTTCCATTGAGGAAACTGCCTCGCTGGAAGACAACAGTGTGAAGATCCTGAAGCGTACCGAAAACAGTGTTCTCGGAATTTCAACGCCACGTATCAACCTGACTGCTGTGCCTAGACGATCCAGAATCGTGCCAGAACGCCTGTTTTAGGGACTTCACCACAGCGAATTAGCATAACTGTTGCGCCCGCATAGTCCTGAATCCCTCCAAAACGCCACTTCTGGTGCGTGGATCATGGGAATATGCGAAGCTCTTTTTTTAAGAAAGGAAGAACGAATGTGCGAGGCGCTGAAGCGAGAACCACATTTTGAAAAGGAGCCACCCTCAATCCGTGAAGCTCTTGCCTTTTTTTAATTTAAAGAAATGGATGTGCGCGGCGCTAAAGCGAGAGCCACATTTTGAAAACGACCCGCCCTCAATCCGTGAAGCTTTTGCACATTGTTTAACGAATGTGCGCGGCGCTAAAGCGAGAGCCACATTTTGAAAACGGCCCACCCTCCATCTGTGAAACTACTACACATGTTTAAGACGAATGTGCGCGGCGCTAAGGCGAGAACCACATTTTGAAAACGACCCGCCCTCAATCCGTGAAGCTGCTGCAATTGTTGAAAACCGTATGTGCGCGGTGCTAAAACGAGAGCCACATGTTGAAAACGACCCGCCCTCAATGTATGAAACTCTTGCAAATGTTTAAAACGAATGTGCGCGGCGCTAAAGCGAGAGCCACATTTTGAAAGCGACCCGCCCTCCATATGTGAAGCTGTTGTCATGTTTAAGCTTCAGGGTCATGAGCGGTGAGGACGTCTGAGGTGAAACGCCCAGCCCGCCCTAAAAGCTGGCCTCGGGGTGCGACAAGCAAGAGTTATCTACAAGGAGAAGGAATGGAGGAGGAGGAGGAGGAGGAGGAGGAGGAGGAGGAGGAGGAGGAGGAGGAGAGAAGAATAACGCCACAGGGAAACCTGAGGTTGGTCTCGCGCAAAAAGAAAAGAGGGGGGAAGAGGGGGGGAGGAGGGGGGGAGGAGGAGGAGGAGGAGGAGGAGGAGGAGGAGGAGGAGGAGGAGAGAGGAGGAGGAGGAGGAGGAGGAGAGGAGGAGGAGAGGAGGAGGAGGAGGAGGAGAAGAAGGAGGAGGAGAAGGATGGATTCCTTTCTGGCGGCCAGGCCACCTTCCGAACGCCGAGGGCCCCTGGGAGCACACTGGGGGGCCAGGAGGAATGCCTGGGGGGGGACGGGCCTGGCACTCGCATCCGTAGCCATTCTGACTCGAGCGAGATGGCAGGCCGGGCTCGAGCCGAGCCAGACGCGGCGCCTTGCCAGACGGCCAACCCGACGCCCGGCCAGACGGCGCCCAACCCGACGGCGCCCAGCCGGACTGCGCCCAACCCGACGCCCAACCCACGACCACGATGGAGGAGCAGCTGCCGCCGCTGAAACAGAAGCGCCAGCAGCACCAGCAGGACCAGCAGGCGAAAACGGCGAACACAACCCAGAAATCATTCGTGGAGCTCAGAAGGTTCGGTGGCCACAAGGGGACCCTGCCCCGGCCCCTCGCGATTTCTGTGGTCGGGGTGGTGTTCACATCGTAGCGAAGTGAACACCAGCCCCACCATTAGAAATCGTGGTGGGTACTAGCCGGGGGTAGGGTTCTCAGATGGCCACCCCAAAAACGGAACGCACGATTTACGGAGAGGGCGCCAGAGGCACTCTGGACGCCCCGATTAATCGGCATCTCTTGGGAAAACAATCACGTGGACGAGAAATGGCTTTGGACTCCACCACCCCAAGGGAACGCGTTCAAGGATAAGAAAGACCCAGACAAGGGAAATAACGACCAGAGCGCGAAGCAGAAGGGCAAGAGCGGCGGCGCGAACAAAGACGAGAAGGGCGGCAGGGGCCCCGGGGGCAATGAGCGGCAGGAGCGCCGGGGCGAGCGAGGGCCAGAACCAGAAGGGCAAGGGCGGCGCAGACAAAGCCAAGAAGGCGAGTGGCGGCAAGGGCGCCCGCGCGAGCAGGGGCAAGGGCGGCAGGGGCCCGAGCCAGCAGGCCGAGAGCGGGCCGCGCGCGGCAGGGGCCCAGAGCCCACGGCCGCAGACGGGCAGGCAGGGCACGGGCCCCGCGCCCCCGCCCGACGGCCCGAGCACGGCGACCCACCCAGACCCCCTCGAGTCATGAAAAAATCACGACGGGAGGTTTTTCGCCATTTTCGGCCTTTGGGGGCCCTCACCGGGCCTCGGGAGCGTCAAAAAACGACTCAGGACGACAAACCGGTCCCGGGGAAGGGGTCCGGACCTCGGGGGGTCGACGTCATGAAAAAATCATGACGTCGGGGGTCTGGGCAGCTCGGCGCCACAGACGTCGGGCTGACGTGAACACATCCTCATCCCTGACTCCAGATCCGCCCTACCTTGGGGAAATTCGTAAGCAGGGCTTCGAATGTCCGCCATACTTTTTTTCAAGCCCCGCTGATGCCGATTTTTCCGCCCTACTTTTCGGTTGCTGTTTCCGCCCTACTTCTGCGGATGTCCGCCCTATTTTCTGTTGGGTGCAAAACTTGCCGCCCCACTTTTCGGCTTCTTATAGGTGGATTTCCGACGCAATTTCACGCTGGAAAATGAGCCAAAGTAGGGCGGATCTGGAGTCAGGGATCCTCCCGCTCGCGGCCCCGAGGGTCCCGAGTCCGAGGGGGCCCCCCCGGACGACGCCCGCCCGCGCCCGCGCGCGCCCGCGCCCGCGCCCGCCCGCGCGCGCGGCCGCCGCGGCCGAAACGGCGGGGGCGCGGCGGGGCCACGCCCTTGGAGTTGGGGAGGGGGGGGGAGGAGGAGAGGAGGAGGAGGAGGAGGAGGAGGAGGAGGAGGGAGCAGCAGGAGGAGGAGGAGGATGGAGGAGGAGGAGAGGAGGAGGAGGAGGAAGAGGAGGAGGAGGGCCCCCGCCCCTTGGAGTTTCGGAGCACCCGAACCCCAGCGTAAAACAAGACTGCCCTCGCAGGCCTGCCGAGGCCTGCGAGGGCAGAGCAGTCCTCCTCCTCCTCCTCCTCCTACTCCTCCTCCCCTCCTCTCCTACTCCTCCTCCTCCTCCTCCTCCTACTCCTCATCCCTCTCGTTCCTCGCTCCTCGCTCCTCGCTCCTCGCTCCTCCTCCTCCTCCTCCTCCTCCTCCTCCTCCTCCTCCTCGTCCTCGTCACTCCACCGAGGCACGCTGGACAATTGAAGCTGGCTGGACGCGATAGCGTCGACTGGGCAGGAAGAGGGGCAACAGCGCTGTGCGAAGATCCCCTGCGGCCCAACGGGCCACTGATACATCGCCGGCAACCCAGGCGGGAGAAGAGAGGAGACGAGAGAAGGAGAAAGGCGTGCGAACAACGAACTGCAGCGGAAAGGGGCGAGCACAACGATCGAAAAGACGCCCCCCGCTTCTACCAACCCCACGCTGTTAGCGAAGATGAAGATCAGCCCGCATGGACGATACCCGCACTGACGCCATCGCGAGCACACTGCGGGGGCGGAACGAAGAGGATGAGGGGAGAGGAAGAAAGCCCACGGACGGAGACTCGCTCACTGTCCG